TGTTGGCGATCGAATTATTGGCGGTGAGTTCGTCGTTGACTTGTATTTATTAAATTGTTGCGCACTCAAGATAAAATGATGTGAACAGTTTCATATCTTTCAGGTTTCAACCAAAAACCCTCGAAAAATTGAAGTGTCACATTGCTGTGCCTATTTCCGAATTGAAATATATTGGTGGGTTTTTTTGCAGTTCTCCATTTCCCTCATATGTTTTTGCTGGAATGAGATTTGAGTGACTGGAATTTGTGTTGATTAAAGCACTAAATTTAACACACTCAGTGATTCATTTAGACAGTTTCAATTCTTGTTTCTTTATTTCTTTATTTCAGTTGCACATTTTTTTCTGCACTATTGAGAACAACATGCTCGTAATCCACCTATCATAAGTACCTTTACGTACACTGACACCATTTTACCGTAGTAGTAAATCCATTTTGGTTCAGTTTTATCATCACTGAAAGTGAACGAAAGAAATATCCGAATCAGAAGGAAAGTTCGTCGTTCTAAAAGTTGTTGGTGGTATTTTTAGGGATGATTTCAGTATTATATGGGTGACAAATTATGGATATACTGAACGTGATATGATTCAGTTAAAATATTGCCGTTCAAAAAGGAATAATCAGAGGAGATGTAATAGATAATTTGTTGACTCAAAAGAATGGTGTCAGTGTTACAGGTGATGGGGATAAGCACTGGGCTTCTAGTAGCAGGTAGCATCGGAGCTACTGCGATTGCAATTACAGCGGCGAGTGTGCCATTTGTGATTCCTGGCCTGCGGAGGGTATGTTTGCCATATGTACCAGCCACGTCACGTCAGTTGCGCAATGTATCTGTTGCTCTATCGAGATCTCATTGTCGTTCCAATAGCAGATTGATGAAGATGCCAATAGTGGATCTGGGTAGTGGCGATGGGCGAGTTGTAAGTATAATCAGTCACCGAATTATAGTAATAATGATTGTTTTAAATTTGTCGACCTCTGAAACAAATACTGTCCGCAACAACTCGTGAATGAATTTAACTACCATCAGTTTCACTCAGCCAAATCGTGTATTTGTTTAATTGATTGAATGCTTTGATTTGATTGTATTTCGTGAAGGTACTTATGATTTTCGTGGCATTGTATATTTACATGTTGTGTTTTGGCGATAGACTTTATTGATATGTGGTCCTTGAGTTATAGTGATTCTAAAACTTCTGAGAAATTGGTTTTCAGCGATGAAATTCGGTGAACAGCTCGCTAGCCACTTGACACCAGAATGGCGTAAACAATATATCCGATATGAAGAACTGAAATCATTGCTTTACGATATGATGGCTGAAGTGCCGACCGAAGAAGATAAACGCGAGCAGTACATCGCTCAGATGGATGAGAAATTCTTCGGGGAATGCGAACAAGAATTAACAAAAATCAATCTTTTCTTCAGTCAAAAAATTGCAGAAGCACAAGGCAAATACCATGAATTGAACAGTGAATTGATGGCCTTCAAAGAGTTCATGTGCTCAACCGACGGTGAACAATCGCGAAAATTCACAACTAACCTACGAAATCGTTTCGCAAGACGACGAGTCAGTGCGACCAAACATGTCAGCCGTGAACGTGCAAAAACGGCTCAACAACTCAAATTGGCATTCTCTGAATTTTATTTGGCATTAGTGCTCGTTCAAAACTTTCAACAACTGAATGCAACTGGCTTCCGAAAGATCTTAAAGAAGCATGATAAACTGATGATGAATGAACGTGGTCTTGATTGGCGTATCAATAAAGTGGAAAAGTCGTCATTCTTCTTGAATCGTGAAATCGAAACTCTTATCAGCAGTGTTGAAACGAATGTGATCAATGATCTAGAAGATGGTAATCGCCAAGCCGGAATGAAACGTCTCAAAGTACCGCCGTTAAGTGAAAAACAACATGCTACAACTACTTTCTCATTAGGACTCTTTCTGGGAGCATTTATTGTACTTGCTATTGCTATACTATTGACTTGGTTCAGTGTGGATGTCCGCCCAAGTGAACCTAAATGGGTGGCAGTGCGGTTATTCCGTGGTCTTATTCTTTTCTTCATGTCTGTTTGGCTGTGTGGTTTGAACATGTATGGTTGGGCAGCAGCTGGTGTTAATCATGTGCTAATATTCGAAGTCGATCCTCGTAATCATCTTACTTACCAGACATTAATGCAGATCTCGTCGTTCATGTGTATGTTGTGGGCTATTGGTGTATTGGGATATTTATATGCACACCTCATCAATCTACCACCATTCCTTTTTCCAATGCTCTTAATGATTGTTTGCGTATTCATTCTGTTCAATCCACTTAAGAAGCCTGATAAAATATTCCGACGAAATAGTCGCTTCTGGCTTCTGAAACACTGCTTCAATTGTTTCTCAGCGCCTCTTCATTTCGTCACATTTCCAGACTTTTGGCTTGGCGATCAGATGAATTCATTAACGACTAGTTTTCTTGATTTACAATACTTTGTGTGCTTCTATGCGACTGAAATTGATTATTCGGGATGGACGATGACCGTACGTACGATCAATTTGACATCAGATGAAGCAGTGCCGTGGGGTTATGTTGATATAAATACAGGTCGTGATATGTGTACAAGCGCTTCTGGTGTTCGTGCGCTGGTTAGTATCATACCGGCTACTGTTCGTTTCATGCAGTGTTTACGTCGTTTTCGTGACACGCATCGTGCTCATCCACATTTGGTTAATGCCGGAAAGTATTTTACCACCTATTTAGTGATCATTTTCAAGTCGCTTAATCACTGGGCTGAAAAAGGTGATCCATCAGCCACAAGTATATTCTTCTATCTTTGGATTGCAGCCTACATCATCAGTTTTACCTATACATTTCTATGGGATGTGTTCATGGATTGGGGTCTCATTGATCCACGTGCTCCAAAGGATTCACCTTTTCTTCGCGAAGAGATGATATACGGTAGTAAGTGGTATTATTACGCGGCCATCGTACAAGACTTTGTGCTCAGACTATCGTGGGTGTTGAATGTCTCATTGGGTGAGGCATGGACATTAGATTCCGATTTATTGACGTGTATAACAGCACCGTTAGAGATATTCAGACGGTTCATTTGGAACTATTTTCGGCTCGAAAATGAGCACGTTAACAATTGCGGTCAGTTTCGTGCTGTACGCGATATATCCGTGAAACCGATCAAGAAAGGTGATCTTGAATCATTATTGTGCAAAATGGACCAGCAAGATGGTGTTACGCATCGAGGCCAAGATCTCAGAGATCGCGTTAAGAAGCAGAAGAAAGCCGCTAAAAGTAAACGTCAAATTCTCAAAAAAACACTCATACCACGAATAGCCTTATCAACCAATCCAAACAATTCTTCTGTTACGCTTGAATCAAAGCACTGAAAGCCATGTTCATCTCATTTGTTGTGTATTTGGTATGTGGGCATTCGTAATATTTTACCAACAATTTGACTATTATCAGTTGAAGTCTTGAACAAACAATTAAACGATTTCAACGATCAGTTGAACGGATGAGTTCTTACTAGTTGAACTTTTTCAATAATAACCTAGGACACATTCCATATTTAAACGCGCATTTCAAGCTACTTTGTAGTTTCAGTCATCGAATGCCCAGATACTGATTACTTTCTCTTGACGTATAAGTTTAAACGAAGCACTTGTTATTTTCTGATGATATGACGATATAACTATTAGTCATTCTGTAAAGTTGTCTGAAAGTTCTAGGAATTCAAATTTCGTTAAATTTTTTTCACCATATACACTCTCGTTGTAGTGTTCAAATTTCCATATCCATGCAGCGGTTAATTTTTTCTGGTTTAAACGGTCTCACAAATCCATATTCCACAAATTTTCTGCACTCGTTTTGATCGCTGGATAATGAATTCAGCCAGTGAACCTTTTGATCAAAAGCTTACGCTAAAGTTATGTGTACGATGATTTGATACATTGAGGTTGACGAAAATAGTGCTCCGTATTTGTATTATAAACATTTTGTGGTTGAATATTGTAAATACGTATATATTTGCTGTGAATTTTTTTGTTGTTAGATCATTCCGTTTCATAGAAATGCCTCACATTCCTTTATCGAACTTCAAGAATGAACGTAATAAGATGCTGAATACGAATATTGCTGTCTGATGTATGTGAACGTACCGAGATTGTTTTATCATTAGTCCGTGCATTATCAGATTCCAGCCATTTTCAAGCTCACGAGAAATTTGATGTTGCTAGAATTATTATAGTTGCATCGCATAATATTGTATAAATTATTGTCTAGAATGCGTTTGAATGAGTATGTCAGATGATATGTTTCAATATTGACAGTTATTATAAATTTAGTCATTCACTACATTTGGTGTCGTAAGTATCGGATAGTCATCATTTTAAGCGCTCTCTCAACTTTTGTGATTAGCTTCCTCCTAGTTCCTCATTCATTCACCCAAAAACCTTATTCTTATTTCGACTTCCCGTCGATTACGGATATTCCGATTCTTTATTTCGTAAGAGCTGTTGTTCACTTTTGTGATTGAGTCACGCGCACTAAGAGTAGAAATTGACGAAGGAATTCATTGGAATATGTACTCAGGATGCCAAAAGATCAAATAATTGGAAAATCGGGTTGGAGTCCCATTCACATTCATTTCTTCCAACTGCTTGTTCGAAAAATTCATTTCTTCAGAGCGATTGAATGATAACGAATAGAATATGAACAATGGTTTTCGGTAGATCAAAACATTGTTGCTTTAATACAGTTTTAAGCAGTACATTGTTTGTGCCTTATTATTCTTGAAAATGTAGTGGTATATTTATTGCTCTCAAAAGCTCATAAAAGCTCATATGGATCAGTTTCTGTATTGTGTCATAATAATGTTCTCTTATTAAATTTTCCTGCTATTGTACCGATATATTATCATCCCTAATTTCTCAGATCTCAGATTCGTTTCTCATTTAATCATGTTTGAAGATTTACGAAGTTGATGAAAGTTACACTTTCGAAAGAACGATTTTGAATTGATTTATTATTGAAAGACGATTGATGTAATGACGTTAAATGCAATGATGATTCATTTTTGTGCTCTCGCATGATGTCGTTCTACTTTCTCTGTTCACAGATTCTAGTACTGTACTGTTACTACTTATGAAAATTCTCTTCAATCATATGACCTATTTGGCTTTAATTCACGGAAGTTATACTGTTTATTTTCAAATTATTCATCTGTTTATGTTAACTTGAACTGTTTTTTATGTTTTCACTTTTGATGTTCCCACTCGTTTCCAATTAGATGACGTTTGTTCGTGGACAAAAGAATTAGAATGAAAATGTTGAGAGTGAATCATGAGCGGTGTATGCTTCTCGGAAGGATACATATCGTGTTGTAGGTATTACAATGTGCTGCTATGGGATATGAAAGTGTAGGTCTTGAGTTGAATACCTTGCTCGTGTTGTACTCGAAATATCAAGCACACCGCAAACATCTATCGCATTTGGCGAAATTTCATCGCAAAGATATTTTCAAAGCTGATCTGTCTCAGTATCAGTCGGCGGTGGTCTTTGGAGCCGAACTTTTGGTCAGTTGCATTGTTTTTCATTTAGTTCGGTCAGTCTGCATTCTTTTTCGAATTCCCATCAGATGGTGAAATCTGATCTCTAATTTGTTCTAGTTCGAAATCCACACTGAGATAAAGTGAAATACACACTTCAACGCAGATCGGAAATATCACGGGAAGTGTGCACTTCGTTTTATTTTTTATTCATTTCAGATGGATGATTTAGTGCCAAAATTAGATGAAATGTTAACTGATTCGTATCTGATTGCATGCCGATTCCCGTTACCACCAAAAACTCGATGGGTATTGATTTGTAAAATTGGTGATGGTATTGATTCGGTATGGTTGTATCGGAAATGCGATCATGTCGTTGCTAATGAAAGTGGTGTTAAAAATGCTCAATTTTAGGCTCGTTTCATTCATTCAAAAATTTTTAATCATATGCATTATCAGTAGTATACTATTATTGTTTATGTGGTTCGTATTTGTTCCGAACTGTGCGTCATATTTACTGTCATTGATGATTACATTATCGTTCACATAATTCCACTAGTAAGCACATCGCAATAAATGACTGTTGTGTCGTGCTCTCATAAGAAGTTATATTCTCTATCCGAACGTACGGTAATGCGTTATATTATACATCGTTACTCTTTAGGAGTGCGCGTGTCCTGTTTATTTCTACAGTGGGACGAAACATTTTGATGCTTCCGGTTTGATAATCGAATATGTTGATGGCACTGTTCCGGCGCTGGGAATGTTTGATTGGGTGGACACTTTTTGAAATTAACTGATCGCTCGTTACTTAAGCGCTCAATTAGTGAGCAGATTGAATGTTCTATATGGAATGAAATAAAGCTAGAATAAAGAGATTTGCACACAGTGCGAACAAAATGACTCCAAAAAAAAACTGGAAAGTATGTGTGATGTATCGTAGACGAATGGGAGAATTATCAGACAAACAGAACAAATGCTGAAAATTTCGAATTGATGGTGAGACGTTGGATTGTTGTGGAAGAGATTACAAAGTGAATCAGCTAAACACAACCTAAAATACCATGGTGTTCTGTGAGTACCAATCACACAGCACTATGATAAGTACTGATCGAATGCCATGCGTGACGGATTTCTTCCACATAATTGCCATGGTAGATCTCCAGCTGTAATTAAACCTCAATTCATTTTCAAATCGAATTCCCACCACGCACCAATGTAAATTTCAAGTGCAAATTCAGTTATGAGAAGTAATAACTCATTGTGAGCCGTTTATTGAGCATGGACGATAACGGTTAATTTCAAGCGTTAAGCACAGAATTCAGACTATTCGTTGCGCAAAAACCTAATCCCAGAATGTCACCTTTCCAGCGTCTTTATGAACATAGCGTAACATCAAGAGTGCTTGTAGCTGAAATCGTTGTGCAAATCTTTCTCTTAATCAAACCGAGAATTTCGGGAATCACAGAATGATGATCGTTGAGAAAGCGTGTAACCGTTCTTAAGTAATAAAATCTTGAGAGCGTGATTTCTCACATGTAACTGTTTTCAACCTTTCAGACTGCAGTTTGAAGCTGCTTTTATTCTTAGAACCGAACCAAACAAAGGGATAAATGAACTCAATGCATTTGACATCGTTGTGTTCGATCCTCTGCCTGAATCGACCTTCGATAAGAACGAGAGCCACATATTATCAGCCGTCAAAAAGATGGCCTCCTCGGTTCGTTAGGTTGGTAAAATTAACATCTTCTGCAGTGATTATCATTTGAAGTTGGGGTTAATTTGAAAATCTCTCCAGTCGAATTCAGCACTCTAAGAACGTTGTTTTCGGAGTGAATAATATTCTGCATTGAAGTGCAATATGACCACGATTCAAGACCACAGTTTAGCCCAAGAGTTTCGTCATAGAGGAACAAATTTAAAAAAAAAGAACACCAAAGAGGAGCGCTCGGTGCTAATGAGCACTTACTGTCATGCTACAAACATAGAGCAGTTCGGGACTTTCCTCGATTGTCGCGGAATTTTGCGAGGGTTTCTCATTGATGAATGAACCATTTTTAACTGATGCTTCAAAATTGGAGAAAAGAGATCTTTCGCATTGCCCTAATGGCCATGAGCATGTGTGCGAATAATGAAAAATTCCATAAATTTGATTGCAAGTAAACGGAATTAAGCATTGCTCGTACGTTTACTAAAATCAGATGTAATTCACTGAAAGGAATGTATTCAGCGAAGCGGAATTCGGATGTTTCATAGTTATGCATTGTTCATTTCATTCACTGTTTATTCGAATCAGAAATTTACTTTCCTTCGGAAATGGCAAACATTGATCTCGTGGAATGCCTTCAGTATTTGCGGCCCTTTTGTCCCAATATTTGCGCAGTTCGTCACCTCGGCTAAACAGTCTATCGGTCTGAATATGAGTTCACGCGAACAACTCGGATCTGTGTTTGCGAACAATGCCACATTTAGGATTTCGAGCAGGAAGATTACCATAATTCAATTTTGGTTCTTTGTGAACACATCTGAATAAATATTATTTATGCAATTTGTGTTTGTAAGAAAATGTTTTCATGATGAAAAGCAATGAAAGCGCATTTCAACGATACAATTGCATTCATTCAGTAAATCAAATCAAATAATGCTGGATTGTTTGCATGTGAACATTTCAGCAATTGTTCATTTGATTGAGTATACATTTCCCAGAAACTGTTCAAATTGACAGTAATTTTTATGGATGTTATTTAGCAGAATATCGAATGAACAATCCAAAATCATTTTGCATCAGTTTATATGATATGCTGCAAATCACTCTAGAGCTGTTGAAGACTTCATGCAGAGCATCTGTTCACATGATTATAGAATATCAGTCAGTTATAATTTCAGACGTTTTATGCTACGATATCCACAAGGCTATCTTTATATTGCACTCGGAATTTGCTCAACCGGAATGGTATTTCCGGTATTTATTTGGATGTACAAAGCGTTCACGATGAATAAAGATGAATTCATCGACTATCGCAACCAGTATAATGCGGTTGTGCTAGATCGACAAAAATACGGTATTTGTTCAGCGGAGCTTTTTTGAAACTCTCAAAGAGAACTGTTGAAAAACTGTCGGTCAGTAAGTGATGTCAAGTAATCTGCAAGGGACTACCGCTTGAACGTTATGAAAAAATTCGAGCCAGAGGCACTGAAAATTAATCGCAGCCTCCTCATCCTTAGATTCAGGGTTAGGCTACGGTTGCATTTATGATGAAACCTCTCCAAACCGCAAGAAACTGGTGAAAGTAAGAGAACTTTTTTCTACAACCATCTGAACATTTCAATATACAGACTTTTAATTCGATTGATCGACCCAATCAAATGCCATCATGTATAGCATTGTCATTATATCGAACTTTCCAGTGCATGAGTGACGTTCTGAAGGTGTTTTGGTGACGAATGAAATTTTCAGGACGACAATTGGCGTTCCCGTTCTTTTTTCCTTCGAAAGGGATAAATGTTGAGAAGAAAGATGTCGACTCAACGTAATCCAGAGATTATCTGTATTTTGTAGTACCGCATAGTTTACGTGCATAAATTTATACGGAATCGAATGTTTCAGTGGTGATATCGCCGTGAATGCGTCGAATGAAATTGACTGTTTCCGTTATTTATTTGATAATACTGCGCAGTTTTCAAATAAAACATTTTTGATCAAATGTTTCGTATAGTAATGGTCTATGTAAGCTGATGGATGAAACAAGAAAATTTGACAAAAATTCAAACGATTATTGTATGAGACAGTGCTCGAGCGGTGCCAATTACTATAATACGTAAGCCTTTCCACTTTATTTTTCAATAGATTTCGATGATATCGTTCATTTAGTTTCATTTCAAAGAGTTTTTTCCTGTCATTTTGTGACGTGCTTTTTCATTTACCGATGATTTCATTAATAAAGTTCGAAAATTTCACTCGATTCCTTCACTCAGTGGTTGCCACAGCGAACTTTTCCCTTCCAATCCGTAAGGTCTGTTGCATCATGTGCTATTATCGCAACCGCCTTCATCCTTCTTTCTTTACGCATCTAATCGACTTCGTTTGATCGGCATCCCGTTCGTCATTTTCAATTTCAGCATCGTCTTAGCAACATATTCATCTTCGTCCCCGTACACGTACCCATGCCAGTTTGAATTTCATCCCCTTAAATTGTCTCTTAATCCTGTCACTCGATCAAACCCTCTGATAAAAACATTCCCGGCCTTGTGTGTCTTCATCACCTCCAATAAGAGTGGTTGCGTTTTCACGTTTCCGGTTCATGTATCATGCCCGATTTCACCAGCATTTTGTATGTCATATCCTTTACTTCCGCATCCAGCCTTTTGACACCATCAACAGTCATTTATAAATAGCAAGAAACTCGATATGATCGCGTCCTCGGATCCAAATAACTGCTGTATTGTTTCAAAAACGTTATTTATAGTGTCTTTTCCATCGTTTGCTCAAATAAACTGTTGAA